CCCCCCCCTCCCCTCCCCCCTTCCTTTTCCCTCCTTCCCCTCCCCCCTCTTTTCCCGTTTCTTCTTCTTCTCTTCTTCTTCCTCTCCTTTTCTTCCCTCTCTCTTCCCTCGTTCTCTTCCCTCCTCGTTCAAATTAATTTCCCCACCCTTTTTTTACAACCTCTCATAACTATATAGATTAAAGGTTTATAAACGTTTTATACGTTAATAAAAAAGAGGTAAAGATAAAGCCTGCTCTTCAAATCTCTAATCTTAATATATTAATAAAAATAATAATTTTATTTTAAATATTTTTTAAATAAATATTCAAACCAAAAAAAACCTTATATCTTATAAATTAATAAATTATTATCACTTCACTCTATCTTCATCCTATCTCCTTTTTTCTTTTCTATCCCTCCTCCCTTTTATTTTTTCCCACCTCCTTTCCCTTTTCCCCTAATTCTCCCCTCCTCCTCCCCCCTCCTCCTCTTTCCTTTCTTCTTTCTCCTCCCTCTCTTCTCCCTTCTTCTCCCCCTTCCTCCCCTCTTTCCTCCCTCTCTCCCTCTCCCCCCTTCTCTTCTTCTTTCTTTTCCTTCTTTTTCCTTCCTCCCCCTCTCCCCGCCCTCTTCTTCCTCCCTCTTTTTCTCCTCTCCCTCCTCCCCCCTCCTTCCCTTTCCCCTCCTCCCTCTTCTCTCCCTCCTCTCTTTCCCCTTCCTTCTTTTTTTCCCCCCTCTTTCCTTCCCTTTCTTTCTCTTCTTTCTCCCCCTTTCTTTCCTCCCCCCTTCCTCCTCTTCTTTCCCTTTCTTTCCCCTCCCCTTTCTTCTTTCTCTTCTCTCCCTTCCCCCTCTCCTCTCCCCCCTTCCTCCCCTCCTTCCCCCCCCTTCCTCCTTCCTCCCTCTCTCCCTTCCCCCCTTTTCTTCCTCTCTTCTCCCTTCCCTCTTCCCTCTCTCCCTTTTCCCCCTCCCCCTCCTTTTCCCCTTCTCTCTTCCCTCTCTCCTTTTTTTCCCCTCTTTTTCTCCTTTTTCCCCCTTTTCCCCCTTTTCCCCCCTTTTCCCCCCTCTCTCTTCCTCCTTTTCCTCTCTCCCTCTCCTTCTCCTTTCTTCCCTTTTCCCTCCCCTCCTTCCTCCTTCCTTTCCCTTCTCTTCCCCCCTTTCTTCCTTTCTCCTTTTTTCCTCTCCTCTCTTCTTTTCCTTTCTCCTTTCCTCTTTCTTCCTTCTTTTCTCTCTTTTTCTCCTTCCCCCTCCCCGTTTTTTTCTCTTCCCTCCCTTCCTCCCTCCCCTCCTTCCTCCCCTCCTTCCTCCCCTCCTTCCTCTCTCTCCTTCTCTTTTTCTCCCCTCCCTTCCTTTTTTTTCCCCTTTTTTTCTCCTTCTCCCTCTTCCCCCCCCCCTCTTCCCCCCCTCCTCCTCTTCCTTCTCTTCTCCCTCTTTTTCTCTCCCCTTTTCCCTTCCCCCTTCCCCTCCTCCCTTTTTCTTTTCTCTTCTTTTTTCCCTCCCCCTTCTTTCCCTTTCTCCCTCTCTCTTTTTTCTCCTTTCTTTTCCCTCCCCCTTCTTCTTTCTCTTCTTCCCTTTTCCCCCCCCGTCTCTCTTTCCCCGTTCGCGCCCCCGTTTTTCTCTTTCTCCCTTCCTCGTCCCCTTTCTCGGCCCTTTTTCTTCCTTTTTTCTTCTTTCTTCCTCTTTCTTTCTTCCTTCTTTCTTCCTTCTTTCTTCCTTCTTTCTTCCTTCTTTCTTCCTTCTTTCTTCTTCTTTCTTCCTTTCCCCTCCTCCTTTTTCCCCCTTTCCCGTCCCCCTCTTTTTCCCCCCTCCCTTCCTCCTCCCCCCCCTTCTCCCTCTCTTTTTCCCTCCTCTTTCTCTCCTTCTTTCTCTTTTTCCTCTTCCCTCTCCCCTCCCCCTCCCCTTTTTCCTTCTCTTTCCCTTCCTCTTCCTTTCCCTCCCCTTTCTTCTTTCTCTTCCCTCCCTTGCCCCCTTCTTCTCCTCCTTTTTGCCTTTTCCCCTCTTCTCTTCTTTTTCTTTCTTCCCCTCCTCTCCTCCTTTTCTTCTCTCCCTCCCTCCCTCCCCTCTCTCTTTCCCCTCTTTTTTCCCTCTTCCTTTCCTTTCCCCTCCCCTTTCTTTTCTCTTTCTCTTCCCCTCCTTCTCTCCCCCTTCTCCCTCTCCCTTTCTTTCCTCTTCCTCCCCCTCTCCCCCTCTCTCTTTTTCTCCCTTTTCTTTTTTTCCTCCTCTCCCCTCCCTCCCTTTCTCTTTTCTTTTTCCTCCTCTTTTTCCTTCCTTTTTTCCTTCCTTTTCTCTTTCCCTCTTCTTTCCCCCTTTCTTTTTCCCTTTCTTCCTTTCCCTCCTCTCTCTCCTTCCCTCCCCTCTTCCCTCCCCTCTCTTCTTCCCCTCCCCCTCCCCCTCTCTCCTCCTTTTTTTTCCCTCTCTCTCCTCCTCTCCTTCTCCCCTCCCTTCCCCTCCTCCTCCTCTCCCTCTTCTCTCCCTCCCTTTTCCCTCTTCCCTTTTCTCTTCTTTTCTTTTTCTTTCTTCTTCTCTCCCCTCTTTTTCTCCCTTTCTTCCTCTTCTCCCCCCTCTCTCTCCCTTTTCCCTCCCCCTCTCTCCTTCCCTCTCCTCCTCCTCCCCTCTTCCTTTCTTCCTTTCTCCTTTTCTTCTTTCTTTCCTTTCTTTTTTCCCCTCTTTTTTTTCCTTTTTCTCCTCTTCCCCCCCTTTCTTCCTTTGTCCCCTTCCGGCTTGTGTCGCCCCTCGGGGTGGCCTCCAGTATCATATTCGCACTCTGAATTAGGTATATCCAATCATCACCATCAGTGAAGCATTGTCGTTCTATAGGGTATCGTCGTATTTCATTTAAATCATCTTATCCACGTAAAATTTATCCCCTTAACTAGCATAAGACAGCAACCCCCCCTATAATCAGTATAGTACAAAATTAGCCTATAACATATACGTAAGAGACCTACTATTAAAATTTAAGGCCTTTTATTAGTCAAAACCCCTCACAATCGACAATATAAAAAAACTAAACTAATTCCTTTAAATCTCACGTTTTTTCAAAAAATACCATTTTTTCAAAATAACCTTAATTACAATATTTTAATAACGTTTTTCTAACCCATTTTTAACCCAATATTATTATTTTTAACGTTTATTAATAATTAAATAGCTTTTTAAAACTTTAATATAGTTTAATATTACCTTTAATTTAACTTAACTATTATATAAGGTAACAAAATAAACCTTATAATTAAACAAATTAAAACCTATGTAATCTTATATAGGTACGCATTTTAAGCCTTTTAATATCCCAAATCGTAAACTTCAAATATTAAAGTTTTTTAATAACCTAAACAATTTATTTAAATTATTTTCTTTAAATTTTTTATTAAAAAATAGGTTATATATATTAATAAAGTTTAATTACATATTTAAGAAAAGTTTTATATATAATTATACGAATGGTACGATATTACTATCAATAAAGTTTATTTTCTTTTATTTATTATTATTTATATAGTATGTTATTTCGAGAAAAAGGTTAAAACGTATTAAGGTAGTAAATTATACGAAATTTTATATTATTTTTTTATATAATATATTAGTTTACGGTAATTTTAAATTTTAAAATAATAATTTTGTATAATTAATCTAATTTTTAACAAAATAAAGTTATTTAAACGAATTAATAAATAAGTTAATTAAATATAAAAACATTTTTAAAAATATAAACCTTGAAGTTTTATATGTTAATCGATAAATTAATTATATGTTTTTATGGCAAAGTTAACAAAATTATTATAATCTTTTTAAATCTAATTTGATTAGATTTAAAATTTAAGTTATTATTAAATTAAATTATATATTAAAGTTTTTTAATATATTTTAGGTTAAACTTAAAGATATAGTCTTATTAATATTATAATAACCAGCCTTAATAAAATTAACCGATATAATTAATAACGATACTTTTAATATTATTTAACGTATAGTTACAACTTTTATTAATAGTTTATTTAAAATATTTGGATATTTTTTTTTTACGTTTTTATCGATAACTTTTTTATAAGCTTATAATTATTTAAATAATTACGTATACGAAATATTATAATTATTAAAACGTATTATAAAAATTATGGAATTGTTATTGTAGCAATATAAATATATAAAATATTAAAATATAATAAAGCTTATAAATGGCTAATTTTTAATAATTAAGTAAATTAAATTGTATGGTATAATAATAACTTTATTAATTTTTTAATTACGATATTTTAAATTTTTAATTGTGTTTTAAAAATGTGTATAATATTAAAATACGTATTAAAAATAATATAAAAAGTATTTAATTTTTAATATAAAAAAGTTTTTAATATCCTGTTAATTATAAATAAATAAATTATTATATAAATGGGGTTAATATTAACGATTAAATAAAGTTATTATATAAATATAATTATCGATTTTATTGTTTAGTTTTAAAAGCCTTACATTTTAATTTTTTATTATAATTAATTTTAATTAATATGTTTTATTTATAAAAAAAGGGGTTATTTAATTAAAACCAACTAAATCCCTAAAAATTAAATAAATATATTATTAAAAATAAAAATAAAAATATAAATTTAATATTAAAGTTTATAAAAAAGCTTAAAAATAACGTTAAAAAAAGATAATACGTAAATATTTTAATAATATTACCGAAAAAGTAAAAAGGTTATAATGTTATTATATTAAACCTATAAAAATAATATATAAAAATAACCTTATTAAAAATTAATTAATTTAAATAATAACAATTTAAATAGCTTTAATTTAAAGCTAAAAAAAACTAAATATTAATGTTAAACTTATAATATAGCTATTTATAACTTGAAAAAATGCTAGTATAAATAACATAGCTTAAAATAGATATAAAATTAAATACTTTGATTTTATTAGTCTATAAGATTAAACTTAGATTATTTCGTAATACTATACCTAAAATTTGTAGGTTGCTGTCTTATGCCAGCCAAGGGGATATAGCCCAAAAATGTAAGTAAATCAAACACAATCTGAGATTGTGTCCTCCTGACGGCGTTCCTTTTCGGCAGTAATCTCCCTGACGCTTCCTGACGACGATCCGACGCGGTCAGAGTAGTGGCCTGGTTGACTGCTCCCGTCTGGAATATAGAATCGTTTATCGACCCTGCTTAAAGTCAAGATGCATAAAATAAGAATCTCCACTGTGAAGTTGAAGACGTAGAATGGAGCTTTGCCGTGATACCAAGCAGGGTTATTAAGTGCTCGGGGAGGCGCGAATGCAGTCCCAATTTTGAACCCTGAAGTCAATATGCATAGACAGGCCGTCGCAAGGACAATGACGGCCTTGGTCTTCATTCTGCCATATCCAAAGGTTTCTTCTTTAGGGGATCGAGGTAATAGGTAAGCGGCAGCCGTCAAGAAGACTGGTATGGTGGTGAAGACGAGGAGATAGGTACTGGAGGTTAGTTGAACAGCTCGACAAGCTCGTAGCGTATACGGATCCAAGCTATACATTGATAATACCACAGCAGTGATAACCATTATAAGAGCACAGGCAATCCCGACATATAGTAGTTTAAAAGTGGTACGAAGCGCTATGTGCCAACCAAGAGATGGTTGCTTTGCTCGTAAAATACGTTGAGCAAAGATTAAATTAACGACGTAGGCAATGAGAATACCGGCGTTAACAAGGATATTGGCCGCAATAGCAAGACGAATATTGGTCTTCCGATTCGCCCATGCTATCCGTAAGGTGAGAGTAGCTATACGAGCCATACAGAAGCCGAATAGGGCGCCGGAAGGGATGAATTTGTGGCCTCTTCGATTGTTGATTTGGAATATCGTCATATTGGTTGCCGCGAAGACCATATATAAGGCGATGAATACAGCTGAGATAGGGACGTCGGGTATAACTGAAGGAAGGCCTCCAACGGCCGCTGTGGTGGGCGCATAAGGCGGACCCGAGCGATGTTGCTGTGTTTGTGACATTGCCGAGTTGTTATGATTATGATGATATCAGTGATAATAGGGGTAATAATATCGACTTAAGTAACGTAGATATAACTAAGATTAGGTTGAAGGATGCAAATCTGTCAGATTTGATAGATCTGACAAGAGACGCATGCAAAGTATAAGAAGTTGAAAGTATATGCAGATGTTTCGAAGAGAGACGAAAAAAAACAATAAGAAGGAATGTATGTAAATGTCAAGTTACCTCGGATTCAAGATGAATATGTCCTAGAATATCGAAGCTCAAGCGGTTGATGCAAAATTTAAAAGACTTGAATGAAGACATAAAACTCTTCCTCGAAAATAACTTACTATAGTAACGTAGTAAGTTATTTAAAGGTCATATCGTTCGTCTCATTTCCTTTCGGCGCATTACCGCGCATATCTCGCGATCCCGAGACCACGAAATCCGTTCAGAAGATCTAATCACATCTTGTTCTAGTACTTGTTCTAGTGTTATTATAGTGCTACTAGATCGTTCCAGCTAGGCAGGCTAAGTTGTTCTTTATGTTACTTGACTCAAGACTACATCATCATGCCATCCCTGTTACGAATCCGATCTGGTGGATTCACGCATAAGTCCCGGTCGGTCGGCGTTGACGAAATTCCTAAAGGGGTAAATTAAATTACAATCGACCAATAGCATCTTATCATTCTCCGTAATTAAGTAGTAATAGGGTCCGCAGGCATATAAAATAGCGGCGTCTTGGAATGCCGATGACCGACATTTCAGTCAAAGCGATGAAGTGTTATTACTTGTAATGCCAAAGCTCCAAAGCTCCATTGTGTCAAAATGTAATACGACATTGTTCTTACTAACAATGCTATTATCCATATCGCTTATAAAAAGGTTTAGTTAAACAAATACTACAACTTCAACTTCAACTCTAAGGCATCGGATGATTTATAAAAGGTAGTCGAAGTAATAGCACAACACACTCAAAACATCAACTCAATCTGTACATACCTAAGTATAGGTACTTGAGGTATTTAATCATTTACATAATTAAACGCCTGAGACCCGTGCAAGCGAAACTATCTAAACATGGAAACATGAAAACATGAAAACAAGACGAGGGTGGGTAAATAGAAACAAAATAAGAATAAAACAAACCGTTCAAACATTAGAAACATATTCGTAACATAATTCCGGACTCCTGGCTCTTTAACTCCCCTTAATTTTTTTTATCGGAGTTTTTCCTTTTTCCTCTTTTTTTCTTACTTTTTTTCTCTTTTTTCTCATAGATTCATAAATTCGCAAGCCCGTAAACAATCAAATTATAACGATCGTACCTCGTACTTTGTTATAGAGACCATCCACAGTCTCTAGCAGTTTTATCTACTTTTCTTCGGAGGTATCTTGAACGTAATTGAGTCGGCCAAAGCGCTACCACCTTTTCAAACTCCATTTCAGCATCCTCTTCAACTCCGGCAAACTCGCGGACTCGGTGTTGAGCGCAATAAGGAAACAGTCCCAACTTCCCGTTGTCCAGGGTAGAGTTACATTCCAGGCAGAGCGCATCGCGTTGCTCCTGGTTGAGCTTGTCGTAACATTTCGGTAAGACAACGCGTCCCCTGCACTTTTTATTCTGAGCCTTACGACCTTCCGGACAGTAAGTCAGCCATTCATATTTCTCGAGCAGTTTCTGCCCGCAGCTTTTGCCTCGCTCTGCGCAATATCTGTACTCGCTACCTCTCCAGGTAAGACACCCGCAGGAAAACCTGGTTACGGCAAAGTAACACATCTTGGTGTAATATCCGTAAAGGCTTTTAGTACAAAGTTTACAAGTTACAAGTTGCAAGTTACAACCTACAAGTTACAACTTAAAAAACTTACTCGGACGTGTTCTGAACACAGCTCGCTCGCTCGAAATAGTACAAAAAAACTGTTTCGAATGCTTTGAGTTGCGGAATAGAGCGAACATAGAAGCTCCCATGCTACTTTAATAGGTAATCATATGAAACATATTATCGCCTTCTTTATACGGATCGCCTACTTGTTGCTCATCTGTTGTCTATCTAACTTGGTGATCAAATAAACAATTTCATTCCTCGGAGAACAATCTCATCTACAAAATGTAAAACCCATATATATATGTAGGTGTGTTGGCAGCACACGTCACTGCTGTCTTCTAACGTCTTTACTGTTATACTGTTCTGGACCGGTCCAGCTTTACTTAGTTTCGATACTTGGCTAAAACATACCTCATAATAATTCATGTGGCTAGGAAGTTGTTCTACCTAATATACCGAGGCTTCTCAGTAGCCAGACTAATACATGCTAATCGTATATTCGAAAGGCAGCTGCGTTGCATACCTACAAGCTATATCAATAAGAAAGTCAATGGGAAATTATAACCAAGCTATAAACCTAAAAAAAAAAAAAAAAAAAAAAAAAAAAAAAACCAGGGGACACCTGGTGAAGGTTTAGATGCAAACTTCAAATCTCTAACGTAAAAATCCACTTCCGGCTTCATTCTCTTTATCGATTCTTCATTGGTATAATAGCATCTACACATGATCTTTTCTTTTACCGTCGATTCTACGAATATTTAACAATAGGCTAGGGCGATTATTTTATTTGGTCATTCGTTTCATCATGGCTTCCGAAACAGCGTTGACATTCGGCGTCGAGCTAGAGTTTATGGTTACCGTCAACTACAACTATTATAGAAATCAAGCAGCACTATGGGCAATGGCAGAAATTTTCTTGAGAAATCTGAAGGATCTAGCAGTCTCCTTGCCTTGTGCCTGTATCACTGCTAAGCTGAGCAAGTCTTCGGGCCAAGGCTATCGGAGTGACTATCCGGCTCCCCATAAAGTGCCTATAGAAAAGAAGGAGTGGAAAGATCACTATTGCTTCTCCGAGGACGTAACTGTTTATCCGACCTTCCAAGAAGAAATGAAGTTAGAAACAGAAAATAAACGCGCGGTTGGCTTGGAGCTTTCTACACGCGCTCTTGACTTTGATAAGCAAGGATGTCCCGAATTGAAAACTGCTTTCACGGCCGTTCGTAATGGCGGCGAACTCACGAATAAGGAAATTGCTGAAGAATTCAAACCCTCAGCTCACAATACAGCTGGACTCCACATCCATGTTGGCGTCAAAGATGGACTCAGCCTAGAGACGGCCAGACAGACAGCTATTCTCGGATGGCTTTTAGAGCCGTGCCTCTTTTCTCTCTGCAGTGCTGATCGGGGAATGAATTGGCAACATGCACCAATCCGAAAACAATCCATGTTATCACGACGCCCATCCATATCTGATCACGACAATATGGGGGTATCTGATTCCCTCTAGGACAGTCTTGCTTCAGCCTCCAGAAGCGTCAATACAGAACTAGCACATACAACGATTCTAACAGTATCCATCCCCCAAACATTCTCGGATGACGATATAACACGGATCAGGACAATCCTAACAGCAGGGAATATGAGCACGCTTTCGGCAATTCTGTCTGGTGCCCTAGTAGACCCGTCAGCCCAGCGGTTGGCCCTGGCTATTTACGAACGGCAAAATGATCATACTACTATTGAGTTTCGTCATTTTCAGAGTACGATGGACTACGAACTTGTCTGGAAGTGGATTCGTATCGTAACAAGCCTTGTTCAAGTAGCTTCGAAGCCAGCATCTGAATTCGACCATAAACTGCAGTTGATCGCAACCGAATGGATGATAGGTGGAGGCTGCACACATGGGATAAAACCTTTGGATAGGAGACAATAGATCCATGGTTAAACAGTTGGGAGTGGATGCTCCCAATTCTAGATCTCCAAGATGATATCCCGTTCTGGTGCGATTATGTTGCTCGTCTTCCTAGAAGAAACGAACATTATTGGGGAGATGTGATTCCAGTAGTCGGCTAGATTAAGCAATGGGTGCAAAGCTCCATTTTGTGTACATAGCGATATAGCGGTTACTTTTCGTATTGGTAATTCACTTGGATGGGTGGACTTAGTTGCTTTGGCTTCTTTCTCTTTAAACCCTAGTATCCCACCGACGTTAGGCTCTCCCGGGACAAAGGGAACAAGAAGATTAGCCAACAATAAGTAATAGAGGACATTGTTATATTTAGCTTAAGAATTGTATAGCTCATATAGGCTGCACAATGAAGTGTTATATTCTAAATAACCATATAATCAACTAAGTCCTTGTTCTTCTTGCACTAATCTCATCAAACAATGCCGAGTTTAGAAGATAAAATCATGCTCATCGCCAGTTCCTAAGTATGATAATAATAATACAGTTCCAACCCATAGTAAGACCTAATCATAGAAGACATAAAGGCCTAGGTGACTGAGACAAGCATAGAAGGTTTATAACTAACAGAGATAGGCCAGTCAATCCATACATACCCAGCTAACAAATACACCTTACGGGCAAGCCGGCTTGCTAACCAAGATGTCGATCCCACTACCGTCAAACTCGTCCCTCTACCAAACTAACGCTCCGACGACAATCTCTGGTCTGCCGGAAAGAGCGCCGCAGGAAAGCCACAAGATAAGAACGTTAGCTGCCAATTTATAACCTTCTATCATACCTGCGGGTGCAGATCTAATAAAGAATCTGTTTACCTTTGTAGCACTGATACATGCCAACACACGAAATCAACTGTGCTGTTAGGGGAGCTGCCATTCGCTTGTGGATCGTACCCGGGACGATCGGCGGCGTGCGGTGTCGAAGACCCAGCCAAAAAGGAGTTCGTCAGAGAAGTAGACACAGCGGACAGACTCGATAGACTGTTAATTCTCCCAGACTGTACCAGGGCTGATATTGATATTCTAATACCGCCGTTCCAAAACCCAAACTGGCATAAATATATCTACAGCCACTACCAACAAAGGCGAAGTCAGAACAGCATCATATCTCCTCCACAACTTTCTCCGAGAAATGACCGGGATGTTGAGGAAAGAAATGTTAACATTGAAGAGGTTGTGCAAAGACTCCTATATAAATACAAGGTACAAGAGGAGGAATATAGAGGAAGCATGGTGGAAAGATTCGTAGAGGAGCAGCAGCAGCAGCTCAGTTATCAACAAGTAGAAAATACGGCAACTTGGCAAGAGGAAAATATAGAGTTAAATACTCCTCCTCCAGTAGGTAGTCACTGGGATACCATCGAGTCCGCCGAGAGCCTTGAGAACAACTATTTGGATGATGCGGTATGCTACGATGAGACCGCCGCCAACACCGTCATGTTTAACTTCGAAGACGATACTGGGGGCTCTGTATATGGTCTCGAGATAAGTTATACCAGCCCTCTAGCCGCAGTAGAAAGCGCAGAGGATATGTATTATGACGACCATCCCCAGGGCAATTATTACCAGGACGTTACCCCTGACTTGGAGACCCCCAGTGCACCCGGTGTACCCGGGTATTCTGACGATAGATACAGCGGTGCGGATGATATTACGGATGATTTCATCGATTTCCTTGCCGAGAAAGAAAAAGAGAAAGAGAAGGAGAAAGAGAAAGGGCCCCAAGGGGGAGGCCCGGTGATAAAAAACTTTGGTCATACTTTAGAGGGTCTTCTTGACCTAATGGATTTCTTGGCTTAAAAGGGGCTAGCTATTTGGAATTTATGAGTTATAGATTTATCATGATTAGAAAAGAAATTTTGGGTTGTTTCAGTAAACTTATTCATATTTTTATTTTTATTGACATCTTGTGAGTTTCGACTTTCCAAACAGTGCCATAACAATGCCTTAATCAGGGCTCAGTTATCACGGATCTACTGTATCCTAAACTGACCCTTATCATTTCATAAGACGTTCGTGAAGGTGACCAAAGCGGCTTATCCGAATCGGATCGTTCCTCTACCGCACCTACCCATTCCTCTACAATCTTATACGCGAACTCATTATCACAGTTCTGTACCGCGGCTTCGTAATCCCTCTGGTATTTCTGATTATAAGAAATATCAACCCATTCCTGGCATCTGTGCATCATCTCACTAATAAAAACCTGTCGAAGGAGGGTTAGGTGGTGCTGCCTTAGCTTTATGCCGTACACCCGAACTTCTTCGTTGATATCTAAGTGCTCTCGAGTGACACTATAAGGAGTCAACGGCTCAAGAGGCCTATCCCACGGCTGATGCAGAAAGGCTGGGAATTGGCAGGCTTCATATAGAGGGAGGCATGAAACACACGACCAGTCGATAATACCCATGAGTATACCGTTCTCATCAACAAGAATGTTGTCAAGAGAAATGTCATCATGCCAAAGCATCGTTGATTCATATGGCTTGTTGCTCTTATCGATAGTATTCATCTCCTCCTCGTCAGTTGACTCATCCTCGTAAACTGGTTGTGCGCTATCATTAGAAGGTCTAGGAGCTGCGAAGAACTTGTCTTCTAGCTCTCGGAGACGATCGACGAGATTTACCATACTAGATATGATCCTACGATGGTCTTCGTCGGTTGCTTCATCCAGCCTTAATCGAAGCTCAGCAGAAATAAGACGGAGGCGGCATTTCGTCCACTTGAATGCGGTACGGAAAGGCATCTCGTGGTGACGTATACTGGCACGCTCACCCTAGAAGAGCACCATCGAGGCCATTTTACCCACACGAGCTTGTAGATCAGACTGATGCGATTCCAAAGGGTATATATTGCCAATCCCTCTGAATTGCCTCGTGAAGGAAATTGCGGCATATTCGGCAATTTGCTTGACGATGCGTTCCTTGGCGCCTTGAGTGGTAGATTCCCAACATTGAGAAAGGGGCATCCCATCTATATGATCCATCAAGATCCACTCGAAACCTATAGGGCTGTTTCGCGAGGAATCGTAGTGGCGAACTTTAGGAACGGGTAGACGGGTGTTCTCGTCTATCCATCGCAATGTTGCAACTTCGCTTTCTGTCATAGATTTAGGACATACTGGTAGAGATACCTTCAAGATGAAGCGCATCCCGTCATACGAGACACGATATATTTTACTATACACCCCATTCCAGTAATGCTGAACTATATACTCCTTATCTGGGCCAACGACTTTCCGGAGGGTTAGGATGATAGAGTCAACTGTCGGTTCAATAGTCCATTCAGGTCTTACGGAAAAGGAACTATCGTCTCTAGTCCACTGGAGACCGTATGCTGGGTCATTTTGGTGAGGAGGGACATCAGCAGAGTCTAAGGGACCATCTTTGTCGTCGTCATTGAAAGATTCGATAGGGTCTCCGAACAAGGAATCTATATCTTGTAAGAGAGCGCGGTCTCGCTCCGTATGCTCCGAAACGCTACCCCAGAGTAGGGGATCCTCTAATATATGACCAATGTTAGGCTGCATCTTGGATCAACTCGAGTGAAGGTTCATAAGTATTAAAATATGCAATATATGGGGAATACGAAGAGTTTCTGACCAGTAGGAGGGGTTTGAGATGGAGACAAGGTGACTTATTGCTCAGAACTGTAGATGACTCTTTAATATATCACGAATAATGAAGGGAAAAGTGTCACAATGCTTGTACTTTGATATGTAGTTGACGTTGTTAAGGAATGGTAACTATACTAAGTTACGATTCTTCATGCTTGAGGTGTTTACGCCAATAAAGAAAAAGATTTTGTTGACGAATTGTAATAGTGGTGAGTGTCTGTAAGGCCTTAAACTGTTGATTGGTATAGGTAGATACTTGCGATACACGAAAAGTTGTACCTAAAGTACATACTTCGAAGTACCTCAAATGATAAAACACCGAGCTTTCGCCGGTCCAGTTAGGGTCAGCTTCTTCAATATACTAAGATGCATCAAGGTTAGTAAGGTATCTGCATAGGTAGGTACAACATAGAAGGACGAAAGGTAGGAAGGTAAGGCCCGATGTATGTACTACCCCGGCAATGCCCGGGCCGACAGTGGAAGCAAGTGTGTTTCTAATGTTCCTTCCCCAGAATCTTACGGTCGATCGGCGAAAAAAGGATGCTCGCACGCATTTCTTTCTTTAACTCCTACGCTTTTTTTTCCCTCTCAACTTATTCACCTCAACCTACCTCTCTACCATACCTCTCTCTCTCTCCCTTCGACTTTGCGTGCTCTTGGTTTTTATAACCACCTTCTCCTTCTCGTCTTTTCTCTATTACGTGTCATAACACGCATAGTTAATACATTAAAATCACATATAAGTTCAAAATGGTTCTTGCACGAGCTGTTTTCGGTGGTGTTCAACGCCGAGCTTTCTCGGTCTCGGCGCGAAACGTAAGTAAACTTTTTTACACCTCATTTATAAACAAGAATGGTATCCGGAGAGTCAATGGTTAACTTACTTCTCTCCAGCTCTCCAAGGTCACCGTTCTTGGTGCTGCCGGTGGTATCGGCCAGCCGCTCTCTCTTCTATTGAAGCTCAACCCTAGGGTAACTGAGCTTGCTCTTTACGATATCCGCGGCGCTCCTGGTACGCTTTATTCTCCAATTGGCGGATATATAGTCGTAGAACTTGATTCTACCTATCCCGCCATGTCCGTATGAAATTCTACCCAACTAACATAGAATTAACGCACAGGTGTTGCTGCTGATGTCTCCCACATCAACACAAAGAGCACCGTCAAGGGCTATGACCCCAGCCCCACAGGCCTTGCCAACGCCTTAAAGGGCAGTGACATCGTCCTCATCCCTGCCGGTGTCCCCCGAAAGCCAGGCATGACCCGTGACGATCTTTTCAACACCAACGCTTCCATCGTCCGCGATCTTGCCAAGGCCGCTGCCGAGTCTTGCCCGGAAGCTAACCTTCTCATAATCTCCAACCCTGTCAACTCCACCGTCCCCATCTGCGCCGAAGTTTTCAAGGCCCGTGGTGTCTATAACCCCAAGCGTCTCTTCGGTGTTACCACCCTTGACGTCGTTCGCGCCAGCCGATTCGTCAGCGAACTTAAGAGCAGCGATCCTAAGGACGAGAATATCACTGTCGTTGGTGGTCACTCCGGTGTTACTATCGTCCCTCTCTTCAGCCAGAGCGGCCACCCCGACCTGACCTCCAATGCTGAGCTTGTGAAGCGCGTCCAATTCGGTGGTGACGAGGTTGTCAAGGCTAAGGACGGTGCCGGTTCCGCTACTTTGTCCATGGCTATGGCTGGTGCTCGCATGGCCGAATCCCTTCTCCGCGCCTCCCAGGGCGAGAAGGGCGTCATCGAGCCCACCTTTGTCGACAGCCCGCTCTACAAGGACCAAGGCATTGAATTCTTCGCCTCAAGAGTCGAGCTCGGCCCCAACGGTGTTGAGAGGATCCTTCCCGTCGGTGAGGTAGACGCCAATGAGGAGAAGCTCCTAGAGGCGTGCTTAGGTGACCTCAAGAAGAACATCGAAAAGGGTGTTGCTTTTGTCGCCTCCAACCCTCCCAAATAAATAACAACAATCTAGATAGCTAGAACTCGGCGTTAGTTAACGTGCACACAAATAATCACGAAGGAGAAGTAAAGTCGATGGGTATGCTTGAATGATGTAGACTATGTTTGGTCATATGCTCATATGCACCCGCGGCTTACTTGACCTCCGCTACTTGTCTCATGGGAAAATGCGATAGACTTAGTACCTAGAGATGTACGATAGTATGATAAATAAAGATATGATATCATGATATCCCCCCTCTTATTACAGGCTCGAACAAAAAGACACTCGCTGTGATATATGATATACAGTTCCGGAGCCATATGCACAGTAAAGCAAATACAAACTCGGTCACTGACCACTGGTATTTCTACGGCTCCTCGCCATCTCAGGTTTGCCTATCACGGCTTCGAGAGTTCTCGCCAAGCCCGCCTCATCATACTTGAGCATACCGTTGACCCTCCTCCCGTAGACCCGAATACAGTCTATACCCAGGGCAGCTAGTTCTTCCTTGTTGACCTTGGGGGCGCCCTCGCCCTCGAGGTAAACTAAGTGTGTGACATAGCTACTCACCTCCCCTTTACTCATACTTTTCTCGTCGCCAACAGCGAAATCCCCCTGACTCTGCGCAGCCGCCCGCGCAATCGCCCTAACAAAACCAGTCGCCGTCAGCGGTTCCGTACTTGGTCCCGTCTCCCGGTCTACACTTGAATTCAGAATCAAGACCTTATACCGGACTCCCGGATCCGCAAGCACAGCCCCCACTCCGCGCAGCACTAAGCTGGGTATAATAGAAGTGTATAAACTGCCAATACTATAAATCACTGCGCCGGCGCGACGTATGGCATCCAAGACCTTGGGATTCGCAAGAGGCCAGATCTCATGCCCGTACGGGTTAATATACCAAATTCTCTCGATACGCGCTGGCAAGTCTTCTTCGTCGGCCTTGCTAAAGTTAATATACTGCTTGCGTAAAGTCGGCAGTGAACCGGGTAACGTGGCGTCCTCGATGCGGTCGTGCTCATCCATTTCCCGGCGCAGATGCTGCTGCTGCGGGAGCTGCTCATCGTCGGGTAGGGAGGTAGGCGCCGAGGGGTGCGAGATGGAGTTCTGCCCCGTGATGTAGGTGCCGTCGGCTAGGCCTGCCGAGATATGATGCGTGAAGTTGCTATTGATGCGGGGAGGGCGGATACAGTGGGTGCGATGCTACAGATTGTGGAGAGGAGGTAGATGGCTGATTCGAGGGAGCCGGTGAAGACGCGGCCTCTGTGAGGAGTTGTCAGTACAGTGACATACGCATATATAGGTATATATATATTAAGTATAAATTAATAAGAAAGCATATACATAAACCTACCCAGTCAAAAACAAATTCCCAATGCTGGCCTTGGAGAAATTAAATACGGAACTAGGCCGCGCCCTCTTAACTATCTCCAAGTTGACGAGGTTAAAAACAGACCGAATGAGCTCACGTTTCTCACTCGATATGTTGATCCAGAGCTCGGCTCGACCCTCGACTATATCTAGCCATTGTAGCCGCGCTTGTGTTGGATCAGACGAAAGTCTATAGTTGAACAGCTCCTTAAGCGATGCTCGCTCTGCGTCTGTCTCCGATCCGGGGATCAGACGCACAAGACGACCTAGGTGATACGTGATGGAAATATCAGCTAAAGAAAGCCCACGTTTTCTAACGCTGATTATATAAGTGAGATGTATTACTCACTGCGGATATCACCAATACCTAATTATTATTATTAGCCTCGTAGACAAAGACGCAAAGGCCAAGAGGGAGGAAGAGGGTAAAGATGTCTTTACCAGGACCACCGAACACACGGATTAACTCCGACGAGCTTCCTCCATTATCGCTTATAGGTATGACGTAGCTAAGCCAGCAATTCCGGCTCTCTCTAATACTCTCAAATACATCGACGAGGCTATTAGTTGCAGTCCCGCCTCCGAAGACAACAATGCCTCTGGAACGTGCATCCATGATTTACGTACGCTAAGTAAGTAAAGGGTGAAGATCTAAGTTGGATCCAAGGTAACGAAGATACTTTGCTTATATTTAAAACGGAAATTACACGTAGTGTCATGCGTCATGCAACCAGTTGGGTTATGAGTGAACGAAAGGGGGACATTTATAACATGATGGACTCGTCTTATAAGCGATCGGAATGTCCAAATTAAGTTAAAGCAATATCCATGCCGATTACTAACGACTGAAAGTTGTAGGTAGTCTAAGACTCGTATGCATGTAATTCCCCTTTGAAGACGAAGAGAAAGAACCGGCGGAAAAAGAAAAGAAAAGAAGAAAAAAAGGAGCGGAGGCAACTATGGAATAGAATATACCTCGACTTTTCCTCCCGAAGTTTGCCCGATCCCATATTATACAACATCACAATATCACGGTATTGTAATACCATGACTTAAAACGACACGCCTTTGACTACGAATATGGCTAAACAAGAAAACAGGCGGGCTAATCTGTGGAACCAACGTCTTTTCTATATGTCTACAATGTCATATCTATGCATCAAACATCCCACCCATCCTTTATATAGAATGCTTTCTAAAGGAACATAAAGTATTACCTCGCAGCGCGGGCAGCTTGTGTCGCCTCTCGGATCTTCTGCTTTCGTTCCTCCAACTTCCTCTCAAAAGCTGCCACTTTCTCCGCTTGCTTCTTCTCTTCCTCGGCGTCCTTCAGCGCCTTCTCTGCCTCCTTTCTTACCCTCTCCCGCTCGTTCTGCTCTGGCCGGCGCATCGCGATGTCACGAGGACGGAAGTCGCTAAAAAGCCGCTTGAGGATCACCTCGATAATATAACAAGCAGCATAGTCGATAACCATAACTGCAGTCATCGTGGTCTTAAACTCCTCCGTAAATTTCACAAGCTTCATTTGCTCGTTGAGTTCCGGGAAGAATTCCGTCGAGCAGGCGAACGCAATACCAGTAACCGAGATGATACCCCAGTACATACCTCGGTTCTCAGACAGAGACTCTCTAAATGGTCGGCCCTGATAATTGACTGCAAACGTAGAGATCTGCTGGATCAGTTGCAGAAGGTATACGGCACTGTTCAGGAGTGACGGCTTGAATTCGGCCTCGAGATCAACCATTTCGGATCGTCTATAACACTATTAGCAGAAAATTCTAAGAGTCATAATTTACAACAACTTACGGTTCCAGCTTGTCACAGAATCGGGCGATATAGATGAGCGTAGCAATATGAACGGCAAATTGGCCGAGAATGGAGCCGATGATATAGAAGTTGAATATGTTGGGTTGTGGTCTCTCCTTGGACAGTCCCTCGACAGATTTCGCGCGGGAAATCGAAAGAAAACAGACGCTCATGAGCATTCCGCTAATAGTAATCTGCCCGTCACCAAACTTGATACCCTCAAGATAAAGAACGCTAAGACTGTAGGCACTGATGAGACAGTTGAGAGCCAAGATCTTGTACATCTGAATCGTAGCGACCAGAGTGCAACGACCTTGTCGAATGATGTTGGGGACGGCAATGACATTTCGTAACTTGCTAGTAAAAGGTGCAGCGACTGATGCATCTCCTAGCTTGAGAGTAGGCGGCTCATCATCACCCAATTCCTGCTCCATCATCGCGGTCGTCATCTTGTCAGCAAAGCCGGCGGCCTTGTTAGCCACTTCTTGTTGCCTAGATGCTCTCGGGTCTTGGTTCAGGAGCTGCCGAGCTCCTGGGCTAGTTACAGTCTCGATGTTTGTACCATTTAGCTTCGCAAGTTCTTCGACAGTAACACCTCGCTTCTGCGCCTCTCGCTCCATTGCCTTTTCGTAGTGAGGGTTAGAGGGGCCAGGAGGATAAAGATGAGCAATAATGGGCGGAACAGGAGGAGCGGGCTGGTTGAATCGTTTCATAAGGTCGATCTGCTTCTGATAGAGCTCCTTCATCTTGGTGTTGCGGGAATGCTCTGCGATCCTTGTCAAGTCTTCTTGTGTACCATTGAGAAGAGCGATACCAATGTGAGCCTGTTTTAGAGCTCCAACATTAGTCCCATCTCCAGCCATCAGTGTAAAATAACCCATATCCTTTAATCCTAAGAGAATTTCCTCCTTTTGCTTTGGAGACACGCGAGCATAAACCCAAGTATGACGGAGGAGCGATCGCCAGGCAGCTTTATTATCCTTAAACTTGGCCAGCGCATATCCAGTAACACAGATATCCTTCGACTTGATAATTTCGGGGTCGATCGGTTTCGACGCATCTACCTCAACATTGGTCTTATCATCAACACTACGCCAGACTAACTTCTCCCCTCCGTGATTTTGTTCTGGAGCGTCTAGGATGAGAACATCACGGTCAACAATCTCGACCTCTCTGGCGACGTGCACAGCCGTAAGTGGATTGTCTCCCGTAATCATGACGACACGATGGCTGCTCTCATTCAACATTTGCACAGCTTGCTTCGCATCATCTTTAGAGGACACTGGAGAACTAAGAAACCGGCAAACGTAAGGTCAGCCTCGACTTGCTCACGCTTCAGATCGTTGATTTTGCCAGAGCCGAGCTCGCTATCGTATGTTAATTGCTTGTAAGCAAGAGCAAGCACTCGGGAACCACGTCGAGTAAAGTACTTGAACGTCTCTTCATAATCCTTGGGGATAGAAACAAGCATCCTCATTATGGTTTCTGGAGCGCCCTTTACACCCACGAAAGTGCCGCGCACCTTATTACCAGTCTTAGGATCAGCAGCATTTACTGTAGCGACGGAGCTCTGGCGTTTCAGAGCAGACGAGAATTGGAAGCGGCGCTTGATTTGAACAGCACCTGAAGTACCTCCTGCGGCCGTGACGGCAGGCTTCGCAGCGAGAGTATCGTTTTTACCTAGACCCCAACCGAGAGCCGCGAGCGTGGCCTTTTCCATAGGATCACCCACAATTTCGCCGTCCTCAAGCTTAACGAGAGCGTGGGCGCTAGCTAGCACGAGGGTTGTTTCCATTCCAGCATCCTTGACAAAGGTTAAATGGCTATGGGCACCATCAGACTCGCGAGGGGTATTTGTGCCAGTGTGGCCAAGTCCAAGTCCCGCAATGCCTTCGACGACCAGGTCCTCGCCGGTTAAAGTACCAGTCTTGTCAAAGCATGCTATGTCAATACGGCCGGCGAAGGGGATACGGAAAGGTTCAGTACAGAAGATAGCAAACTTAGCTAGGGCAGCGAGACTAGTATTTACTGCCAAGCTGAGTTCCATGGGAAGCTCAGGAGGCACGACGCTAGTGACGATCAAAACACAGTCGAGTAGCAATTTCGATCTCTTGCGATCTTTCTTGACACCCTCGTCCAGACATACCACGAAGCGGCCACCGCAAAGATGAGGAGAAAGAGGATAAAGAACAAAGCTTCGGCATTGTTCGCGAAAACACGCTCCGTCGAGTAGATCATGGTCCGAACCAGACTACCCTGCGACGTCTCGAAGCCAGTTTTCATCACGATGGCCATGGCGCCATTGTCAGGAGGCGGTGGGACACCTGAGGCGAGCTTAGGCTTCTCCTCGTCGGGGTTACCATGCGTAATTTGCAGGACTTTAGTGCCACCCAGAGGAAAGCATTTTTATCCAGTCCCTCGGTATCGATAGAAGCATCGGTAGGTCTAAGTTGTATCGAATCCTTCAATAACGGTGTGCTCTCTCCTGACAGCATAGCTTCGTTAACGATAGCTGTGCCCTCGACCAGAAGCATATCACATGCAACACCGCTATCCTCTTTAGTTCGCCCAACGGAAACGAGGTCTCCCGGAAGCAGCTTATCGCTCTCGAGCTCAGTCCACTTGCCCAATCGGTACACCCACATATCGTACGGCTTAATACTCATGCCTCGAAATTCGACCAAGGTACGCTGTCGTTGCCAGACTACCGTGCTCTCGAATGCGACAAGCATAAATAGGGTAAATAGAGAATAGTACCAGTACTCGTCCAGCATCCAGAGACCAACACAGAAGACTTGGAAGACAAAAAAGGGAGCAACGGCATGCTCTCGGAAGAGCTCGGTGAAGGTAGGGACGGGAATATCAAAGGTATTAGAGCCATAGTATTGCTCGAGCCTAGTGAGTTCAGCTTGAGAAGAGATACCCGTCGATTTTTGAAACTTCCCAATCTTAGGCTTAGGCTCAGCGTCAATCTCGTAGGTCAAGGTACTGAAAGATTTCTTCGCAGGGTCATAGAGAAAACGGCGCTTCTGAAATAGAAAGGACAGGTTTGTCTTGTCCCCGACCTAGAACGAGTAAAGCAGTTAGCAAGAGCAAAGGAACTAGTATGAAGGGAGAAAACGTATACCTTATCGCGAACAAGTTTGCAGATGTCGGCCGAACCGGCATTGGCGATGGGGATGACCTTGATCAGCTGCGCATCTTCGATCCTACTTGCTTTCCTCGCAGTAAAGAGAGCCTTAAGATTGACACTCCAATTTGTGCTAAGCCAGACCAAACTCTGCAGAGTGATGATGGCGCCGCACCAGACGAAAGTCCACTCAGATGAGCCAATATGCTTGGCGTATAGCTCGGGGGTGTAGAAATAACGGGCGAATATAGGCCATATTATAGCAAAAGGCGCGACATATGTGTGAAGATAGAGGGGGAGCGGCTTGAGCAGCTCAGCGCCCTGAATCTGAGAATTGTCGACGAGAGCCATTATAGCACCGGGCCTCTCGGTGATCCCATAAGTCTAAGAGACTTAAGACACCCAAGACGTATATTAAACTGTAGTCGCTCTTTTCCTTGTAATCAATCGTACGTGGGCGGTCGGGGCGGATAGAACAGCACTAACACGTCCAACGTTGAGTGGACACACAAAAAAAAGAACGAAAGTAGAGGGAGATTATTCGAATAGTTAGTTAGAAATTGTTGAACTCAGAAAATCGAGATGACGTGTGGCAACTGTCGCTTATGACAAGTGTTGGCAACTGATTGACTGCCTTGTAGCTACTTGGCACTAAACTCAATACGGGCTATGTACCTCTCTCTCGTCGTTACACAAACCACATATGCATGTTTGAGTTACCCGCTACATTACTGCCACATGCACTGGCACTGTGTATACAAGGTTTCTGCAGGGTTATGGCTCCTTCGCTCCAGCGCACAGACATGCGAATGTACCTAGCTGAAAGTGAAGTAGGTACCCAAGGCTGCCAGATCCTTAATCCGACACAATCCACGATGTACCCTACCTCATGTACCGAAGTATACTCAAACAATCATCTCGAGATATTTTATCATTTATTCCATTTATTCCATTTCATAATTTATTTCAATTGTTACTTTACGTGTTGGGCCGATACTTTGCAAAAGTGGCCAATGGTATATGATAACTAACTATGTAGTTTATCTGGTTAATATGTAACTTATCAAGAATCCCGCTGCGCGTTAGAATCGACAGTCCGCATCAAGAGAGGGAATGACGAGATTTTACATATAAGTGACTGTGACTACGACTATTATAAACACTCGAAGATATCAAATTACTCTATTGATACTAGGCCGGTTTCATTCGATTCTTTTTGAAGGTATATATAAAATAAATGTGCAAGAGTCCCAATCGCCAGCTAATTATAAGTTAGCGGTCGCATAAGTTATAATACGACAAATATAGTCCAGAGCGCCTTATACGACAATAAATAAATAATAAATTGAACTTATATCAGTAGTATTAGAACAAGCTTAAAGTCTCCAGCATTATGCCTTCGTCCTCTGAGCCTCCCCTCAAGCTAACATAATTCTTTCCAGAAGCCAATACGACTGTTGCTGTAATATTGACGTATTTTCCTTTGCTAGGGAGAAGATCAAGGCTCGTTTGTGGCACCTGATTAACTTCGATGCTGAGCCCTACTGTCGTATTACCAACATTAGAGTAGGTGAGTATCAGAGAGGTCTGACCACCACTGGATACGATTCCGGAAAAGGCTACATTGCTATCCGTACCCAGTCCTCCAACAACGGCTCCATTTGCCGTAGCAGTTGAACTGTTATCAAAGACGACGCGCGTGTCTTTCCCAGTAAGGTAAGAATCGACTGCGTGGTAGGTTGGGCCAGAGATGGGCGGCGTCCAAACCTCCAGTTCGCAGATACCGACCCAGAGGTGGGACGCCTTCCGATACAGGTTAACAGCTAGAAACTGTGTCTCAGTTTTATCAAAGGTTATTTCGTTACGGTCGTTAGGCAATAAACTAGAGGTATCATTGACCGTGGCTAACAAACCGGTGGATCCATATACCTCTATACGAGCCGGCACATCTATGCCTCCTCCTCTTACGACATCTGAGAACAACGCGAGTGTGATGGAAGATATGTTTCTAGGCCGAGCAAATGTAACTGTAAGTGTATCATTTCGGTTTGGTGACCCGTAGTTTGTCCATCGATTGTCAGGGATTGAGTCGTAAAACAAAACACCGTCAATAGCCTTGAATTGGAAGTCGCCGGAATTGGTGTACGTCGCATTAGCCATCGGATATTGTCCAGGCCCAGTAGGATTCGCTGTATCCATTAGCCATGATTTTAACTTTGATTATATAGAATAGTCTAGGTTGGGTTGAAAATTTAAGAAAACAACTCAGTAGAGAGTGCAGGTGGGGTAGGGGGTAGAACCTAGAAGTATAGTAGAATTACCAATACGGACCTGCAATGTTAATCAAGGCATCGGCTGGTAATATTGGTGGGGGGATGCGTATCGTAGCATGCTTTTCAGCGCCGTTATATACCTCCTTACCGTCAACAAAAACAGTCAAACCATGTCCAACTTTGTATCTTGATCCATATTTATCATAAAGAATCGTTACGAGGTGTCCATGATATGACAGATTTTCGAGAGCAAAGTAAGTCCAATTCTTTGGAGTAATAGGTGAGATTTCGAGTGTGTTATCTTGCTGCGGTATGATTCCGAGTAGGCCAGTTATGACATCGTCATTGTTAGTTGAGTGATCGTAATGCTCTGAGTGGTTCCAGCCGTCGGCGCTCCAAGTATCCAGAAAGGGATAATGAGATTCTGCAACATAAGGATGACCGTCTTTCTGCTGGGTTCTCGCATACATCTGAAGATACTGCAAGTACTGCTCTGCGGTAACATTTGTAGTTCCAGAGCGATATATTGCTGCGAGTGACTTCAAGGTATGACCTGTTGAATACGGCCACGACATACCATTCCAGTAACAACCTATGAGACAGTCAGCGAATTGCAAAAAACCTTCACCTGGGGTTATAATTTCGGGTCGAGCTTCAGCGTACAGTAATCATCTGGTCTAGTAGCCATGAACCATGGGTCTCGTATCTCCAACGTTGTTGGGCCGTAAGGGGCTAAGAACCCTTCCTCATCAAACATAGCATCGACAGCTGGCTGTGCATACGACTTATTCAGGCCAATGCCGAATCGATATGGGAATAGGCCAACTTGCTCCCTTCCGGTCAGCCGTGTCAAATTAGGGTTATTAGGCCGAATGATGTCCATGAAGAACTGCTGCTCGGGGCCCACATCCTCTTATACATAGCCTCTTCGAGGCTGTCGGCCATAATGGAAAATTGAGCCTCCCTAAACCCATCGCGGGCAAGGTGGGCAGCCCGAGCTATTGCCCTAGCGTTTGCCACCATATAAGCATTATGGCTAGGTCTGAAGGTATCAGGGCCGTCCTTCCTTAGAGTCCAATCAGTCCCATTAGGGTCGGCAATAAAACCCGGCAGTGATAATTCTTGAGCATCCCAAACTGGCTGGTAGTAGTATAAGCCAGCTGCCCCGTCGTAGACTTGATCCCATTCATGCCATATACGAATTAAGTCATCGAGCTGGGAAGCGAGAAAATGGGTGTCTCCGGTCACCATAGCACGGCGACTCGCTGCGTCGAGGATCCATTGTGTGTATTGCAGCGCGTCGGCTGGCCCACGGGTATAGAGATGGATATAGTCATCACCATAGAAGGTATCTCTCAACCATCTTGACTCGTCAATCTGATGTCCAGCCGCGGCATCGATAGAACCGAAAGCCTTGGCGTAGCCAACTGGTTGAACAAACTCGGTGCACATATAGCCCGTCCCTGCCCTGATGTAGCGAAGATTACGCTGGATAGATGTCCACCTGTAATAGTAAACATCTTGGATAAGCGAATCGGGGATGTCGATGAAAGGGATGTTATGTCTCAAGAAGGATTTGCCCGCGAATGCGCTGATAGGTGTCTCATGATCCAAGAACGAAGTACCCTTGACATCTTCAAGCTCAGGCCGAGGAGGTACTCGCTGTATGAGGAGAGAATAGGCAAGCACACAAAAAATTCCAACCGCCGAAATAAGGGCGGACACTTTAAGAAGGAGGTAATCAGCATCGGACGGCCCGCCATCCTGTTTTCTCCTCGGTGAATTCCCCTTGCCGTAATGTAGAGGCAACGAATCAACTTGCTCCTTGAGTTTGGTACTTTTAGAACCGGCCGATTCAAAGGTGTTATAAGAATGCCGCGGCATTTTTGCGAAAAATATATCTTATTAGGTGAACTCCAACTTGGATGATGGGTACCAAGGTAGGGTTACCTTGCGATGAGACCTATCGATGCTGCATGGATTGGAGTGATACCAGTTTGATACCAATCGACAGCAGCAGCAGCAGCAGCAGCAGCAATATCCGACTGATTGGACACTATGTATATCCAGTAAGTATCAACGCACTATTAATCTATCTGGACGCCCATGGAGGTAGGGCTGCAGACGGTATAAGTAGTGTAGGTATACAATGTAGCGGAGGCTTCGGTAAAGATAACGGTGAGAAACGGTAGACACCGGCAAACGACGGACCTGCGACGTCACTAAATCTAAGGGGGGGAGGGTTCTCCACAATCAGATCCCCGCAATGACCAAGATGCCGGGAACAACCTGTCGTACCAGATTGGCGAGGCAAGATGCAAGTATTCGAGTTATAAGTATTAGACGTTAAACAGTCTGGACAGTATCTAACTCACAGGTATTAGCACTTCGCTTTATTATGAGGTAGGTACATACCTAATGGAATAGATAATAGATAAAAGTTAAATAGATACCAACCACTCCAAGATTGATATAGAAAGATCTGCGTAAGTTGAACCAATTTTGTATTAATTCCCCAACGATCATCCTTTGAATTGTTTAATAAGGATATTAACGCCATCTTTATGTAGACTTCCCCGCCTAAGATCCCCTTCATTCTAACTACCTAAGTAGGTAGGTAGGTAAGGGGAGTCTCATGTGGCCGAGGGATGAAATAGTCATGCGCATAACGTCATAAGTATGACCTCTCCGCATGTCTAGGAAATATGGTCAATGCCAACCCCGGATAGCTTGCGATAGGTCAATAACTAGGTCTCTCACCTTGAATTTCGACGACAGCCATCATGACCTGGGTCTCCAATACTGCTTCATGTTCCTTCAGAGTCCAAATTCGTCGGGCTTTTGGAGAACCTGCCGGTGACATTATCAGTAGTACACCATAGATAAATCTAGAGCGCTCCCTGGTTAGGACGTGACCGAAAGAGGTTACATTGCTCAATAACACGAAATTCAGATAACTAGATATGCTAAGAGAGGGTTCAATTCAATATTGTTAAATTTCTGCAAGTGAACGTTCGTATTGTTGATTTATTTAGATATAATGATTTAGTACTAATGGGTTGTCAAAGACGATTGCACATATATAATATACCTACCTGAGAGGTAGGTTTTATAGATAAGTCAACAAGTAAAGAAGTAAAAGTAGGACAACTTTTTGTTGGGGTTATAAACATTGGCAGGTGTATCCAGCTGCTAATCCTCACCAACAGTTACCTATAATCACTAGTGTACATAAACTATAGGGAAGTACATTAATACATCAATACAATGTACATGGCATCGGCTCGCGTGTGTCATATCTAATTCCAAATATTTGAACCTTTTTCGATTTCAGAACATCACATTATATCTAAACCAGCAAACGGTCTCATTCTAACCGGATTTCATATTTTCTGTTCATTTTCTGTTCATTTCAAGTTGCTATGTCAACATTTCAACTATCAAAGCTAACCTCTACCTGAGGGTGAACTGAAACAAAGTCGTAGATTATGCAGCTACGCTCTCTAAGCTAGAAGCTGCTGAACATTTTCGGAATCTACTTGGCGAATCCTGAATCTATTGATTTTATAGCTTCTTTTAATTCCAAGAGACAAGACCCCACTGATTCCGCTGCATCGTCGAATAGGTTTTCCTCACGTATTGAACCTGTGCCAAAGCCGGCGAGAGCACCTAAAAAGCCAAAGGCTCAGTTGCATACTCCCGCTCCACGTCCAGTCACCAATCTCGGCCCTACACCAGGAACCGCGTATAATAAAAATGTTGAGAGTGACTAAATCACTCGGCGTCCTAGCCCGGCCGCAATTTCAACCGGATCTGGGTCCGGAAGAAGCCCCCGCCTCAGAAATCTGCTACTCCCCTCCGCCAAAGCTGCCTCCCTCTGCCGCGGGTCAGCTGATATCAGATGTCCGGAAGCCCAAGCCAAAGTCAACACCTGTTTCACGGTCTTCAACGCCGGCTCCTAAAACCAAAGTTCACATATCTGGTGGTACTGCCATGCATGGCGCATCACAGCTTTATCAGACCTAGACAACGCATTCGCCTTCTTGAAACAGCCACAAATCCTACTCTAGGAACAGATGACTCCGCTCGGAAATGCAACTGCGTCGCTGCTAGGCATCCCCTGCTGGCTGCCGCACCGAACTGTATGAATTGCGGGAAAGTCATATGTGTAAAAGAGGGCCTCGGGCCCTGTACATTCTGCGGCACACCGCTTCTGAGCCCAGCCGAGATACAGTTAATGATACGGGAACTGCGCGATGAGCGGGGCCGAGAGAAAATGGCTGCCAATCGCGAAGCTAACAAGAAAGCTGACGTGTCGAGGACTCCCGCTCCTTTCTCAAAACCTAAGGAAATTACTAGCGAGACTAGTGAAGCACAAGCGAAGGCTCTGGAGCATCGAGATCGTTTACTAGGATTTCAGGCTCAGAATGCACGGCGAACGACTGTCCGGGACGAGGCCGCCGACTTCGATGTCAGCGGGGCAATGACAGGATTCGGTGGTAATATCTGGGCCACGCCTGAGGAGAGAGCTCGGGAGTTAAAACGCCAGCAGAAAGTTTTAAGAGAGATAGAATGGAATGCTCGACCAGACTATGAGAAACGACGGCAAGTTATCAGCATCGACGTGGTAGGTGGCAAGGTAGTCAGGAAGATGGCAGCCGTTGAGCGACCAGGGAGCCCTGAAGACGACATACAAACCGATACGGCCCTACAGGAGGTCAATAATACTAACCGCGACAATGCGAGCAGAGGAGGCGTAACCGGAGGAGCTTTCAGCAAGAATCCATTATTAGGCTCGCTAATCAAGCCAGTTTTTGACGCCAAGGGCAAGGGAGCTAAGTTAGAAGGTCGTGATCCCAAGGCCACTCGATGGAGGAGAGTACAAGATGATCTAGACGATAACGAGGCCGTCATTCTTGATGGTGGAGCGTATGGGGGGAGATCCGGTCAAGAAACGGCTCGTGCCGATGTAGATGAACCTGCTTGCGGTTAATGCAGGCCTTAGTTGTTTAGAAAAAGCAATAAAGAAGTTTGAACGAAATTACTATCCAAATCATCATGTCACTGTCAGGTTCGGTTAGGAGTATTGTAGTGTTGTGTAAAGGAATGTCAAATATCTTCATTGGTATAATATCACCTCGAATGACCATTGCTACGCCTAACTTGAGAAACGAAGACTAGTCCATATACGGATCTGTGACCATATTTCCATTGGTATCTCCCTAGCCTCATCAATCCGTTACCGTCAACCCAAACATTTTACCTCCTTGGAGGCTTACCAGGCAGTACGTCCAAGGCATATTTCCCTCTACTGCTCACAGCTGAAGCTGGTGTGTGCTTGAGCTTGGCCTTAAGAAACCAGCAGTCGCCATACATCTATAGAACGATCGGCGTAACGCTACAAAATGTACTGAGTGGTATTAGAATTATAATTCCTTCGTCATAACGGGCGTTATCGACAATGCCGTCTGCGTCCAAGTCATCATGATCACGCTACAACTGCGTCCCGGGGCAATGATAGAAAACTAAGCTGCAACTTTCTCCGGCTCTTTGCTCTCGGCGATACCGTTCTCGGTAGTGCCATTCTCGGTAGTTCCATTCTCAGTAGCGGTGCCGTTCACCTTAGGTGCCACAGCCGCCTTCAACTGTTTAACTTGCTCCTCAAGACTCTCAACCTTTTCTGTGGCTTCCTTCTTCTCGGATTCCAAGCGAGCAACATCAGCTTGAGCGTCTTCGAGCTTGGCGTTCAGATCGGACTGAGTTTTCTCATCTTCCTGCTTTTCGGATTGGAGCTCGCTAATCTTCGTCTCGAGAGCAGTCTTCTCCTAATATTAAAGTTAGCTTAAATAGTGTCTAAAAAAATGGCTCGGGAACGTGAGAGTTGGGCATACAGATTGAGCTTCCTTAAGGTCTTCTTCAATCTTGGCAGCCTTGGCATTAGCCTCCTCGGCATTAGCATTGCTCTCCTCGACCTTAGCTTTCAGGCTAGTGATTTCTTCCGCTTGTTCATCATGCTGCTTCTGCAAATGCTCTCGTTCATTCTGGACGGATTCCAACTTTTCCTGCAACTCGACTGCTTCTTGCTTTTGCTTTTCGAGCGTGGCAGCCTGTTCGTCGTGTTGCGCTTGCAACTTCTCGCGTTCATCCTCGGTGGCCTTAATCTTGTCTTGCAACTCAGTTGCTTCTTGATTTTGCTTTTCAAGTGTAGCAGATTGCTCGTTATATTGTGCTTGCAACTTCTCGCATTCACCCTCGGTAGCTGTGATCCTGTCTTGTAACTCCACAGCTTCTTGCTTTGCCTTCTCAAGCTCGGCCGCCTGGGTCTCAAGCTGCTTTTGTAGTGTCTCGGCCTCCTCCTGAGTCGATTTTAATTTGCTCTCTAATTCGCTTGCCTCTTTCTGCGCATTCTCGAGCTCCGCCGTATGATCTGCCTTCAGCTTGTTCTGGCTCTCTTCTAGAGCAGCAATGTTTTGTTGCAGCTTCTCCGCATCGGTACGCAGTCGCTCCAATTCAGCTTCGTGGGATTGCTCAAGCGACTGCCTCTTCTCTTCGGCTTCGGTCAAGCTCTTCTTGGCATCTTCTACTTCCTTAGTAAGATTATCGTATTCCTCCTGCAAGGACTCATGCTTTTGCTTCCATTCAGCCACATTCCTCTCCGCCTCAGCAGCCTTCTCACCGGATTCTGTCTGCAACTGGCCATGGGCTTGGTGCAAGTCCTCATGCTTCTGCTGCGTTTCGGCCAGGGTTTTCTTTGCCAAGGCAATCTCATCGTCAGATTCTTTCTTGAGTTGATCGTGAGTTTGCTCGAGGGCCTTGAGCTCGTCTAACGATTTTGTAAGACTCTGCTCTAGTTCATCTCGGCGAGTCTTTACAGATGAGAGCTCTTCGGTGAGCTTGCTGTGATCGCTCTGCAGGGCCTCGTGTTTCTTGCTTGAGGCAATCAATTCCTCTTTCACGCTGGCCAATTCTTCCTTGAGAGAGGCTTCGAGAGAATTGCGCTGCTCGATAGCATCGGCTAATTCCCGCTTAACGGCTGATAGCTCCTCGCTTAGTAAGTTCTTCTCCTGTTGTAAGGCGTTCACCTCGTCTCGTTTCTGTGCTAGTTCGGCACGTTTTTCCTCGAGCTCCTGGGCTTTGGCAGAGGCAGACTCTTCGAGAGTGCGACGCACTGAGGCGGAGTCGTCAGAAGTCTGCTTTAGCTCATTTTGAAGCTTATCAGCCTGTTCCTGGTTTTCCTGCTTCAGTGATGAGGACTGCGCTTCCAATTCGTCGATCTTTTTGCGCAGGGTCTCTGTCTCCTCGGTGGCCTTGTTGAGTTCTTCCTTCGCCTCCGACAGTTCGCTTTCCTTCGTAGCCAAGTCCTTCTCAAGAGTGGTAATGTTCTCGTCTCTCTCTGCAATCTTCTTTTCTATGGCTTCTCTTTCTTCCTTGGCGAGAGCAGCGGCACTAGAGAACGTAGAGAGTATGTTGCCCATCTCGTAAAGTGCTTCTTCGCGTCCTCTTTATATGTGAGGCGGAAAGAGAATTGAGGTTGAAATTTGCTATTTTCGTTGCAAAATGTGCCGCAAATGGGGAATGAAAGTTCAGACGAAATGCAACGGCTTTCTACCAAATGATGTTTGCTTTGTTGGGGGTATCCGACAGCAATCAATCAAGTAACAGAATTCAGATGCTAGGTATCAATTAAACAAATTGTTCATTCATTCATTCCGTCGCATGCATAAAATGAGATGTTGAGAGGGGAAAAAAAGATACGATAGGTTCCGATGGTGGTAACAGGGAAGTGACTGGGTAAAGAAAAGTTCCTTCCCTTTGCTATCACTGCCAATTAAAAAAAATATTTTCAAGCCAAACAGGGATCCGAGGTCCCGCGGTCCCGCATCAAACGCTACTTAAGCTACCTATCTAGCGGTCAAGAATTAGATGTGGTTGGTTGCCGTGCTAATTCAAATGTTGGGTGATTTGCAGGTGACAACTCATATACAGTACAATCTCCAATGACCCCGCCTTACCTTACTTAAGCTTATCTGAGTGTTGACCTGAATTTGTTCCACTGCCATTAGTGGGCTACGCCCACAGCGCCACAGGCGCCTCAAAAACCACTGGCTTATATATTTGTACCATAACGGGAATATTCGGTCTTGTGTAACAAGTGTTATATATAAAATGCATGCTTTTTATAATAATGGTTAATTGATTGTTAAAAATATATAATTTAAAATAAAGTTTATTATTTATATAAAATAAATTAAAAAATTATTATAAAAAATTTATAAAAATTATTAATTTATAAAAATTTAATATATTAAATATAAAAACAATTATTTAATTAAAAAAAATTATTTAATTAATAAATAATTAATAAAAAATTAATTATTTATATTATATTAATTATAAAAATTATTTATAATTAATTTATATATTAAATTTATAATAATAAAAAATAACATTAAATTAATAATAAAAAAAAGTTTTATTTAAATAATAACTATATTATTTAACTATAATTAAAAGTTATGTAAAAGTCGCATAAATATTATATGTATTTTTATATAAATTTATTAAATTACGCATATATTTTTTATATTAACTTTATATATTTATAAATTATTTTTAATATATATTTAACCAAATTATTTAATTAATTTTAATTGATTAACCGGTTAAATAACTTTATATATATATATATATATTTAAACTTTATTTTTAGTTTTTTTATTTTATGATGGTTATATGATAATTAAGGAAAAGTCATATTCCTTATACATTAAAAGAAAAGCATACCTATATATATAAATAAAGTATACTTTTAACATATTTTTTTAAATAGTTTTTTTTTTTTAAATATTATAAATATATTTATTTTAATTAATTATTATTTTATTAATTATTACTTTATTTATTTATTTTATTATATATATATATTTATTAACATTAATTAATATTATTAAATAATTAATAATATAAATTAATAAAATTAAAAAAGTTATTATAACAATAATTTAAAAAATTTTATTATAATAATATACGTAATAATAACATTATATTTTTTATTAAAAAGATATTTTTTTTTATTTATAATAAAATATTAATTTATATTATTACGTAATTTTTTTAAGTTTTTATTACTATATTATAATTTAACCTTATTATTTATTATAACCTTATTTTTTATAATATTTATAATAGTTTAAAAAACATAACGTGATTCACAAGTCAAAGGCCCATACAAGTCAACGGCCCAACGAAAATACATACAAAATACGTCTGTGCGTAACCGTGCACTTTACTCAAAAGAATTCCTATTAAAATTCGGATTTTAAATTTAAATATGCATTTAAATCTTAATAATAATAATATTTTTCTTTATTTTTATACTATTTTTTTTAATTAATTAAAAATAAAAAACATAAAAGTGGGTCCAAAAATATCGTAACTTATGTTATAGTGCAATAATATTTTTTTCAATTTTTTTATATATTAGTTTTATAGTTATATAATACATATTTAAATTTGGAAAAGTTTGATTAAAAATTGGTAAAGTTATAGATTTTTAAAAATGTTGATTTTTGGTTATATTTTGGTTGGGCCGCTGACTTGTTTGGGCCTTTGACTTGTGAATCACGTTAAATAAAAAATTTAATATAAATATAAATTTATTTTATAAATAATAATTTAATTTAATAAAAAAATATAAATAAATTATATAAATTAATAAAATATATTTTTAATTAAAATATAATTTTTAAAATATTATTTAATTATATAATAATAAAATAATAAATTATTAATATTTAAATAATTATTTATAAATAAAAAATAACTTAAACATTATTTATATTAATAAATATTTATATATTTAAAAAAAATATTAAATAAATATAAAAAATAATTTAAAAGATTTATAGTAAATAATTTTACTATATTATTAAAATAATTATAATTAATATTATAATATACGTTAATATAAAAAAATATTTATTATAATAAGTATAATATTAATTATATAAAATATTTTATTAATTTTATATTAATAAATAAATTACCAATATAAAATTTTAATAAATTAAAAAAAATAAAATAAAAGTGGTTAATTATATTAATATAAAAAATCTCAATATATAATACCAAAAAAAATATAATTTATTTAAATATATATATATTTATATATATTATAATATAAATATAATAATTAATAATAATTTATAATTTTAAAATATTATTACATTTAATTTTATATATTAAATAAATTTATAATTAAAATATTATTTTAGTTAAATTGCTATTTATATGTTAATAATACGCGTTATTTTTTCTATGAAAAATATAATTTCTTTTTTTTTTTTTCCTTTTTTTCTTTACTAATCTTTTATTAATTTTTAATATTTTATTAAAGTTTTAATAAATAAAACCTTTATTATATTAACTATTATTTTTATTATATTATACCTTTCCTTAATTTTAAACCTAAATATTTTAAAAAATATTAAATTATTTATAATAAATAATTTATTTTTAATAAAAAAATTAAAATAATTTTTAAATAATAAATACCTACGCTTTTTCCCTTCTTTTTTCTTTTTTAATTTTGTAAAAACCTCCCCTATTCTTTTTAAAATTTTTCTTACTAAATAATAATTTTAATATTTAATAATATATAAAATAATAAAGATATAATTTAGATTATAATTTAGGGTATAAAATTGATCCAATATAGGAATAATCCAACCTACTAATTCTAAAAAATAAATTTAAACTTTTTAAACCGTTATTAAATAATTTATATATAATACCAGCGGTTTTTTTAAGCAACATATAAAACAGAAAAAACCAACTAATAAAAAAATACGATTTTTTTTTCCAAATAATTCCATTATTTATACTAGCAAATAATTTATTAAAATAAATTTTTATATTTATTACTAATTAATAAAACTAAATTTATTATAACATTTTTCTAATATAAATTTTTAATAAAATATACCTTTTAATTATTATAAATTACTTTAAAAAAATTTAAAATAATAAAAATAATTATATAAACAAAATATATAATATTTTCGAAAATAAATTTCGCTTTTTTTTAAATATATACTATATAATTAGAATTTATTAAATTTAATTCTATATTATATTTTTAACTATTTTTAAAAAGAAAATAATAATTTATTTCCTTTATAATATATTTTAATATTAATATTTTATAAATATATATTTAATTATAAAATAATATTTTAATATAGAATAAAATAAAATATAATATTATTAAAACTAAATAACTACAATTTTTTACAATATTAAAATTAAAAAATAAAATAAAAATAAATTAAATATAAAAATATTAAAAATTATATTTAATAAATTATTACTATATTAACGTATTTTTAAATTAAATTTTAAAAAAAAAAATAATTTATTATAATTATTTATAAAATATATTATAACATTTTATAATTATAATATATTTTATTTATTTTATTATAATCATTTAAAAAATTAGTAAATAAATTTTATACGTTAATTAATACTTATAAAAATTTTAAAAAAATATAATAATATAATATTAATATTAATAATAAAAATAATAATAATAATAAATATAATATTAAATAATATTATATTAATTATAAATATTACCATAATAATAAAAGAAAGAAATATTATTTTTATTATAAATTATTTAAATATTAGAAACGTTATTATTAAATATATAAAAAAAAGAAATGTTAATTTATTAAATATTTAAAAAAAAACGTAAAAACGTTAAAATATAATAAAAAGCAAATAAAAACTAAATAAAGAAAAACTATTTAACTTTTTTAACTAAATATAAAAATATTAACAAATTCAATTTTAAAAATTTTAATAAATTTACTAAAAAAAAAAGAATTTAATAAATAATATATAATTATAATTTACCTTTATAATTAATTATTTTAATATCGACTTAATTTATAATTATTTACCCATAAAAAATAAGGTAATAAAATTAATGTTAATATTATGTTTATTTTTAATTAATATATAAAGAATATATTTTAAAATATTATGTTAAATATAGGAATAACATATGTATTAATAATAAAATAAGGATAATATAAGGCTTTTATAACTAAAAACTTAAAAAATTAATATAAATTAAATATTAATTACGTTAATAAAATATAAATATATTTTAAAAACAGCTTATTTTTAAAGTTATTAAAAACTATAATTATTAATACTTTTTTTAATAAAATAAATTTCTATATAATAAAAACTAATATCTTATTCTTTTTTTTTATTAAAGATATAAATTATTTTAATATTTACTTTAATAATATTATTAATTAATTAATTGGTAAAAATAGTATAATAATTAAAATTATATAAAAATAAAAATATTTTTGGTTTTATTTAAATAATATTATTTTTTTTATTAAAATAAAGTTATGTTGTTTATATATACGTTTTGATTATTTATTAATTAATAAAC